TAGGGTTGACAACCTGAAGCAGCTAATTTCCACAAGAAATATATGTTTAGCGATTCAATTACTTACATGTAGCTCGGGAAAAAATGAGATAATTTTCGCATCTTAATCGATCGACCTAATTAAATAGCACGTGGTCCACTGCAAATGCGTACAGGCATGTATATATAATTGTCATAGAGTTGCTTGTTTGAATAAACTATTCCAACATTATTTTTTGATGACAAAAATATAGACAAACAATGCTGTTTTCGTCCTTCTATTAAAAATTGTGTCTTCTACAGATATGTTGTCATATTGGTAGCGTATGGTGTTAGCCTCGGCCGTCTGCAAGGGAGGAGGGAGGGCGTGAGGGCTTCGTCTCCCATAACGCAGCCTACGGCCATTTGATTTCTTTACAATACCATCGTGATATTAGAATACCATTTTATATAAGAAAAATTCCATTAGACAGCTGATTTCGTAGAAGTACAACCAGGCCCCTAATGTTCGTGAAGAATTTTCCAGCTGCATACTTCTACTAGCTTATGTCCCCTTTGTTTGAAATTTTGGATCAATCACATTCCTAAAAGTTCCATACTTCCTTTATACATTAAGACGGGTCTAGCAGTTTTTTTTATAATATTAATAAACCGCTAGGAGGTCGGGTGACGTAGTGGATAGCGCGCTCGCCTTTCACCAAGACAGCCGGGGTTGGACTCCCCGATCTGATATGAAAATGTATATTGGGTCAACTTCCCGACAACATCTCCGGGTACTCCGGTTTCCTCTCATATTAAAAACCCATACGCGTTCTACATGGGGCAAGCAAGATTGGTTATAGCATGTTGAAATAGTATGTTTCGATTTTTGTTTGTTAACTAAATAAAGTTTACAAATCGCTGTTCGAAAAGCGAACTAAACCGTTTGCATAAAATGTATGTTCCTTGTTGCATGTCACGTAACAGTATATGCTGACGAGCACCCCTGACTTAGCAATAAAAAAAAACTGCGTGGATCCTCGAGAATGATGTCGTAGCTGTTAGCTGAATGCATAGTTCACAGTGTTTCCATCACTCCGAATTAACGTCGACCTGTTCTCTCTGCTCAACAGCTACACGACAATTTACATCGGTAACATACGCACGTGTTCCCATTTATCTCTCTCCGATCGAAAAATTAGTCCCTCGGTGAAGAGCCTACTGGACCTTGTACCGTGTATGACCGCTGTTGGGCCGTGCACGTGCGGTTAACACGTGTATAGGTCAACCGATGCAACAGCGTTTATTTGACTCAGGTAAGTGGGTCATTCAAAGCCAACAACGTCTATATTGCCCTTGAAATCAGTCATGTTGCAGGGAATCTTTAGGTGGCACGTGAATTCGCGTAGATCATCATAATGACGTGAGTGCGCATGACAAAAAGTTCATGTGCATGCATGAAGTCCTACTTGTTTTGTTCATTTGTTACCCATTGCTGAACTACAGTTGTTTGATTTGCGTCCTATTTGAAAATACATTTAAAATCTTGAAACCTTAAGATTTGCACAGCACGCGTAATGTCGTAAAATGATGTTCGAAGATAAAATATTTGAACACATCAGAGAGGTCACTCCTGAAATACAATACGAACAAAATACGACTTATGAAAGCAATTGCCCATTCTTTAATAGATGCAAAGCTAGATCATTCAATGCTAACACTATCTTCTCTTACCTCTTCATCGTAGATACTCCTGGGGTTACGCTCACTTTCGCTCTTTGCACCCCTGGAATATGTCATAGCAAAGTTGAAGGCACGCGGCTAGCTAATTGATTTGATTGGTTTCGGGTAAAAAAAATGGCCAATGTCTAGGCTGATACCTGTCCTTTGAAAATTACAGAGGAGCGACACCAAACTTCAAATCCAGTCAATTTTAATGCGCATCCGCGAGACTATTTTTAAGAACATCAATCAAAAGATCAAAATAATCTCCTTGTCACATCGGGATGGTGGCGTAAACTGAGCCTTCGATTTTGCCATGACATATTCCAGGGTTGCAGAGAGTGTAAGAGAGCATATATACCCCTGGATATCGATGATGTAACTTTTTTTCAAAACGTTCTTAACTTACTAGTTACTAAAATGTATAAATGAAAGAGTCTGACTTTCCGACAGTAATCGATGACAGACAATACACGGCCAAGAACACATTGTATTTAATGTTGAAATCGCAAACCGACGCTGCGCAAGTCTGCGTTTTCCCAAAGAGAAAAGTGGTGCATGATACTTTAGTTAATCAAATATGTAGCTTCCGGTCAATGAATAAATGAGCGCGCAGGCATTTCATACAACTTTAGGATTTCGTAGTGACCAGTACATCTTATTGCAGATATATAGACAGGTATCTGCTGTATCAGTCACGATATTTCATTTCCGTCCCATTTTACGTAATTATTGAAGATGTAACAAGATGGCGACGACTTTTCCTATGTTGTATATACACTGTACACCTTCAGTGGACCTATAGTCATTCCTAACACACAAACATCGAAGCTATCCTGAAACTACAGTTTTCAACAGAGGATAAGGTACACCTTTCAGTGATCGAACCCATAATCCTTGAAGCAGCTGATCTTTTACCTGTTATGGAGGTGGACAAATAGGTCATCCTAAGGGGATCGCAAACATGATTTCTCTATTCTCTACCCGCCTGTCACTACCCATAAAATAAGCATTTATTATTATATGAATAACAGGTTCTTAGATATTAATCAAATAACACACAAAATGTTTCATATTCATAATCGTAATCAGATATTCCACGTCATCAACGCTCACTGACGATCGCTATGTTGTAGTTTTCTTAAACTTATGTTTTTATGTAAATGTAAAAATCTAATTCCATGAGAACTCGATTGGTTTGAATTACCTTCACATTTTTTCATGTGGCTATTTCTAATGTCCATATTTAAACTTAATAACTATTAGAACTGTAACTGAATTCGTACGTTCATTTTGAACAGTATAGATGCAATAAATTAAAAAACGAATTTTTAGTCATATATCTTTCTTTATAATACTTTTCCGTTGATTATGGTTGATTTGGGTTTTATTGGGTGTAGCGTTCAAGTAACCGCTAAGGTCGGGCTAAGGTCACGTGCCTCAATGTGCGTAACATGTACATGTGTGCTGGAAGCGGAATTTTGGCGTACGTAATGGCCTCCTTGCAATAAGATCTGATATCGACTTTAGAGTGCTACCTCACAGAAGTACATTGCATCATACAGCTGTTTCGTCCTTCTTGGACTCATCGGTGACCCTAGAGGGCCAAAGTGTTGGAAACCCAAATTGTCATACTAACTACATTTAAAAACAGAGGCAGGTGCGTGTATAACCCCTTAATTTATGAACTTCAAAATTTAGAGGAATACTGTAGGGGCGGATCCATGATTATCAGTTAGAGGGGGTGCAACAGTTTACGAATAGGGGCCAAGAGCCAGAAGCTGTAGAAACACAAGTAATTGAGATATATAACATCATAAATAGTTTCGGTATGTATTGTATGAGCAGGGGTGCACGTGGATGCACGGATTTCGAAAAGACTTTTTCGAAAGCAGGGGCGGGTCCAGGTGAGGGCGTTATTGGCGTTTTTCAAAAAAAAAAAAAACAACTATCGTCATCTGCTAATATTGTATTGAATATGGCAATTTATCATATTCATTAATTAAACTCATACTCTGATTTCTTTTTATATGCTCCAAGTAAGGAACCGTTACATTAGTGCATTTCACAATAATTTTATGTTTTTTAGCCAAAAAAAGGTCCAATTTTTTTTTCACCTCGCTCCGCTCGGCGAAAGATTTTATTCTACGCCCCCTCTTTCAAATATCCTAGAAACGCCCCTGGAAAGTGACATCTGTATTAACGGTCGGACAGCTTGTTTGCGAGTGCGCGAAGCTTCGGTGTGAGAGCAGGGAGGGAGTTCCCTAGAAGCTGTAGAAATATCAGTAAATAAAGATGTCACATCCTGAATTTTCCGGGGATTTTTCATTTTCTTTTTCTTTTCTATTTTTAGCATTTTGCCAAATTGAAACCATTACATTAAAACAAAATTCAGTATGATTTAATGGCTCTGCTGAGCGATTTTTTTCTTTATATAAACAAAAATAGACGTCCCGACGTGTTTGAACCCCACCCTTACAAAGTTTTATATGCCAATGAAATAGGTTTAAGTTAAACCCCTTACAACAGTATAAAATACTTTTGAAAAAGGATATCGACATGCGGAGAGAAACAGAAATGTAGATGATATATGTTTCATTTAATTTGTCTTTAAACTTGTGTTTGAATTTTTTTCTGTGACCTTTTTACTATTTTATCATAAATATGAGTAAAAAAATAAATAGTACATGATACAATTTAAATTGTAGGTCAAAAACCGAGCTTTAAAAACACTCCTTAAAAGCTGGTATGGACCACAGTGAATATGCAAACAACAGTGAATGATTTGTATAGAATCATTAGTCAGTCAGTAATTAATTAATCCATCATTTTAAAATGTTATTACTAATCGTACTTACATGTATTTATCTTTCTACGTAAAATAATATTGAGATTGGTCGAAGGGAGACAACCCGTTATACACTACACTTTCCGTATCTTCTACCAAACCCTGTTTTAGTACTTGCAAGATATAAACCGACTCTTGATAAAACTTGTTTCGAATTAATTGATTTGAATTCACAGAACTTTATAACTAAATATAATCCTGTGTACCAAATGTTATGCTGTCATTACAATTTGCATTTTTTGTTTATTTTTGGGTCGCAATAGACTGAAAAAGAACAAATAGATAAATATTATTGCGAAAATATTTATCTAAAACAGAGTTGCGATAATATGTATCCCCGAAATAAGTTAAGGAAAACGTTGGCAATATTAAATGTTTGTTTCAAGTCAGTTCTAGCCGGTCGAACTCTGAATACTTTAGTCCGGATTCTGTCTGGTTTTTGTTTTATATAACTCTTACATGGTTAACTGAACGCTTGCTATTTTGCCCCGATTTAAAGCTTTCGTTGGTATCAGTTTCGAGGAAATCTTCTAAACTAAAGAAAGTAGACAAGAAGGTTCAAGGTATGTTAACAATATAAATATATATAGTTCATGTCAGCTCGAATTATATAGCAAATACCAACTAGCAACACTTGAAGTGCGATGACACATGTACAGCACGTCGAATACACAAACTGTCAAACATAGTGACAAGGTCGATGTTATCCGGATATCATCAACATGTACATGATCAGTCGGTCGTATGATAGAACGAGTGACGTTGTGCTGTAACCCTATCGCTACATTAATTTAAATGTCACATTAATCAATACATGTTATCCAAGATATGATATGTAGTGTAGTGACCAGATAATATTCCGAATATGATGTTAAAAAACTGTGCTGCTGAACTGGCCAAAATAATTGCCAATATTTTCCAACAGAGTCTAAACAGGTCCAGTACACTGCCGATTGAGCTATATAGCTATAAAGACCTATATAGCTATATACACCTAAAAATTAAAGCTTTATTGAGCTATATTTTTTCAGATTTCAAATTTCATTAAATTAAAGCAAAGTCGCATAAAACAATAAGGTTTATGGTAATGTTAACGTTGATACAGTTTATTTTCATTTTTCATAAATGTTTTCACAGATTTTTTTTCATCATTATTTTTTAAAAAGAATACTTATATTTAATGTCTTTTGTTATCAACCTAATGATACAATCTTCTTTTAGAAGCGACTTTGTTTCGTTTTCCTTAAAAAAGAAAATCACTCAAAAGACCTATTTCAGATAGGTCAATAGAGCTATTATAGGTCTTTACAGCTATATAGCTCAATCGGCAGAGTGTCCTGGACCTGCTAAATACAGGCACCCTACCTATGGACTGGAAAAACGCCAATATCAGCCCGGTGTTTAAGAAGGGGAACAAACACACCTCCAGCAATTATCGCCCGGTCTCGTTAACAAGTGTCTGTTGTAAAACAGCTAGAGCACACCATATGTGGCAATATTTTAAAACATCTAGAACAGCATACTTACATCATTACAACATGGATTTAGGAGTGGTCACTCGTGCGAGAGCCAGTGTTACTTTACAAAATAGTTCACGGCCTGGTGGCCATACCCTATCGTTATTCCAGTTTAATACCAGACCATCAGATCTAGAACACAGCACAGTAAATCCATCAAAGTGCTTAGTTGTAACACCGACATATATAAAAACTCATTTGTACCAGCTACCATAAAAGACTGGAATGCACTACCATTGCACATAATCAACTGTAAAACTACAGAACAGTTTAAAGCCACTATTGCGACCAAAAGTGACTTAAGATTGATATACCGCACTCACTCACCCTGGATAGTCTTTGTTTGCTCAGTAGTGAGCTAATTTCCAGTACAAATACAGATACAGATAGTGTTAAACTAAAACTATTGTATATTGTTTATCTCTGCTGTGATGTATGTTTACCACATGATCTGCCTATTTCGTCTGGTTACTAGACATTTTGACAGATGTGCATATATACAGCAGCTATAACGTACAGTGCTCAGTAGGAATATCATCAAAGACTTAATTAGGTATACAAATATATCAGGATAGGGAAATGCGATGACCAAACTGGGATTCTTTTGACCTCATAACTCTAACAGACATTCTAACAACTGTGTTAGTAGTCTGGAATTACTTTTTCCTTTATCAATGAGGAAATCATCTATTTCGGACTACTGAGTTACTTTGTCACATTTGATTGACACAGTCAAATTCCGATACATTCCAACACCTTTTCAGCACCATATTTGATAGAATTAGACTGGAACAACCATCCACCAGACTTGTTCTTATCTGCAACTTTGGACCTCTCTACACAGTTAGCTCTGAATCTGAATGTGTATGTTGAAGACACCAATACTGGTATTTAATCAACGGAGGAGAGAGAGCGTTTAGGTAGTTTTAGTCTTTAGAAAGAGAAGTCCAAAAAATGTTCACAGATGTAGCACGAACAGAGGATTCTTCCAGTTTGTTCCAGTCGTGTATTGTTCTGATAAAGAATGAGTTTTTATAAGTGTCAGTTTTGCAGTTTTGCATTTGGAAGCACCGAGTGTTGTTTGTCGCTGTTTTTCCACAATGTTTTTTGGTAGAAAAATCAGTGAATTAGTTGCAGTGATTTTACGCTTGTTCCGGATAGGATGTAAATATGAAGAGGCTGGTATTGCTGGCACCAACCCCTCAACCACCTTGAATAAAAATGTCAATCTGTGATGTTTCCGTCGTTCCTAGAGAGATTGTAGATCGCACTCTTGGAGCATACGGGTGACACAACCAGGGTCTCTTGAACAGTAGTCCCCTGTAAAGAATCGTACTGCCTTCCGTTGATACGTCCTAGTCGGTCAATGTCCGATTGTAGGCAAGGGTCCCATATATAACTGCTCCATATTTCAGGGTCTGATCCCACTTTCTATTCTTGTACATAAACACAACCCAAACATTGACATAATCTTCAATATGATGAAGTAAGTTGATTTTAATATCAGGAAGAAGATCAACAAAATCCCTCTATGTACCATGTTCCATGGATATATTTAGTGAGGCAACAAATTAATGTCTGGAATGGAAAAATGCATTGACCAGACGAGCGTTCAATTGGACTTCTGACCATCTGACCTTACACGGGTTTACCATTGATAGAGCCAGTCCAGTCCAGCTTCACTATAGAATAAACTAAACCTAATTTTTGAAATTTAAAAAAATGTTGGTAAAGGGCACCACATCTTCAATGTCCAATGGTTCCACTTTAGATACACATACGTACACGCATTGAAAGTTCATGGTTATATTAGCCATTTAGTTGGTTTCAGAGATAAGAAACTAAATACAATATCAATCAATAGCTAGGATGATACTTGTACTTTGAAGATTACAGAGTCCTGATCTTGAGCTACACAAAAATGAAAGATGATCAATTTTACCATTACGTATACGCTGCCTTGTGATTCCTTTTCACAGGTATGCATGCTTATGTAAATTTGACAAGTCAACTTGTGCCGTTCGCTTGGGTGGTACATACAGTCTTTGATTTTGTCATCATGACATGTTCCAATGGTGAAAAGAATATATTCCTTTCAAGAACAGAACGTTGGATTTCAAAGTTGAGTGAACCAGTTGGTTATACTAATAGCTAGTCTCAATAAAACATAGCTCAAGGAGTAACACATCGGGCGTGTACCTCTGCTGAGGATTAAACCAGCAAGCCTAAGACTTGCTTTCTAGTCAAATGTTTTACCACATCCATTGAGATGAATGGAAATTCCTACTAGCAAAAGCTAGTGAGGTGACTTTTGACATCGTGTACAATGCACATCTTTATATAGCTATTGGAAGTTTGATTTCGTCAGATGTTATATTTAACATAATGTTCATTGTTTTAAAAGTAGTGTGTTACCGTGTGTCACACACCACTTCTACAACAAGTGGTGTGTGACACACATATAAGCAATTTACATATATTTGGGGCCTTTTGATACATGTGAATAAATATCTCATGGATTATAGAAAATCTACACTTATTGCATGATAGTATTATCATGGTTATGAAATATAACAGTTTTCAGAAGAAAGTGTCAAAATTCATTCGATCTTGTTTTTATAAAGTATGTATTATATATATATTGGTTTGGATGTACAAATTTATGTACAATGTTATCTCAATATTATGCATATTAATTTGTTTGTTTTCTTTATCATTTCAGATTGTGTGACCTGTGTTGATCTTTCCAGCATGAAACCTCATCATAGAAAATATTCCAGCATGGAAATGTATCCCTTTCTAATAGTTTTTCTGTATCTTCTCGAGAGTGTTGCCTCCGAAAACCTTATACAGACAATCAATGATACAATTGGTGCTGAAAACTACACTTACTACAGAGTTTCTGGAGTGGGACGGCTAAGACTTGAACTCACTTCAATGTACGGTGACGCTGATTTGTATGTGTCTCATATTACGCTATCGCCCACCTTCAATGAATACGAGCTCAAAAGTACAACATGCGGTATGGACGTCGTTGAAATTCCAGCCTTTTTAACCAGACCTATAGGTGTGGCAGTGTATGGTTATCCAGTAAAAAGGAATGAAACTGAGTACAGTCTTTCAGTTTATTTTGTATCCAAATATGATGATTCCGATTACTCTTCCCTTGATTCCATGTATACTTTGAGAGATTCAGACAGTAAAAATGATGTAAATGCAGGACAGGCCACCCCAAACGGTCAGCAGAGCTATCAAGACAAAGAAGAGGAGGAAATATCAGTTTCAGAAACCCTGTGGACAATTCTTCTTACTATTCTAAAAGTTGTTTTTGAAGTTTTATTGTGAAAACACATTATGATAAATGAACACCTTCCAACTAGTGAAATCAATTATATCTCAGGTTACATAAAAATCAAAGGTTTAAGTGTTATCCTGAACAAAATCCAGTTTCCTAATTATAAGTTATGTGTGTTTAAAAATATTTTTTTCATTTACACTTTAGTGATTAGGTTGAGATTTTTTGTTTAATTCTATTGTTAGAGAACTAAAATAGTGGTAACCCTCTTTGTTTGTGAATGTTTATACTTCAGTTTAATTTAAATGTCATAAAAAAAATTGGTTGTGTGCAATAGTGTTGTCCCGATGATCGAATATAATCGATATCTAATCTGTAAGGCAACCGATTCCCAACACCCGTGTGTAATCATATTGACAGCATGATGCGATAAAATTAATATTTCAGTTTTTGGTAAAAACATTGTTATACCACACACTGTATATATACATTGTGACTGAGTAATACACACTGTAAATGCTCTATAACAAACAACTAAAAAGAAGAAATTTCAGGAAATGGAAAGTCAAGATAATAGTGTAGTCTATATCATTTTATCATGTGCCTTATCAATTTATGTATACCTGGTGTGTGTGTCGTAATTATATATATATACATATATGAAGGCTGTTGTACAAGTTGTAATGGAGATAATATTTTTCTTTGGTCAAGAAAATGCTAAATCTATTTATAACTCATAATTAAGTAAAGGGCCATTTCCAGTTTTTGTTGGACAAATAAAGTACTAGAATTGTAGCTGATAGATTGTGCATTTTAAGCAATTTTGATATATAGACACTTGTTACAATTAATGTCTATAAATGGTGCACTACTTGTTTAATGTAACATTTGAGTTGATTACGTTGATACAAAGCAATGATATTGTAGAGGTGGTGCACATTTTTTGTTCCCTATGGTCTTTTGAAACAAGTTTTGCCCACACTGAGTTTTCCCACAATGTCATAACCTTACAAATATTACTAAAAATACAGCATGTTAAATGTTTCTCCTTCACATTTAATTGGTCCTTGGTCATGGATGAAATTAAAAAAAGGTGAAATTTTCCAATTTAAAGTGGAAAATTCTAAAAGTCTGAAATAGAATTTCTGTAATGGTAATTTTGGTCTGCAGCCTTAAGGTTTTAAGGATGTTGTGATCCATTAAGTTGAGTGTAGATTGGTAGTTGCTCCCCTTTGTTCACTGTGATCCGAATACAGATATTTCCTGCCTTGAAATGTCAACATTCCTGTGTTATCTCCACACAAACTTTACATCATTGTGTTATTATTATATGTAGATACTCAAGTTGTTACTTTGTATGACTTGAAACTGAACAGATTTAAACTAACCTATATACATTTCTGTTCGTTTGTTTATTGGTAAGTTTAACATCTGATCAACAGCTAGGGTCATTTAAAGGTTAAAGGGGGCAAAACAACATTTTACTTGCATGAATGTTTTAATTTAAGCATTGCTGGCATGGCCAGACATGAATAATAACAGATAGTCTAGCGTGTGCCACAACTGCTAAACAATTACATTTACCAACAAGTTGATAAAAACATGCCTTTCTTTTTACGAATTTCTTCTTTTGTTTATACCATATTTATTCTGTAGACTAATTCTTTGTTCATATGCTAGGCCTTGTGCTGATTTCAAGCATATGTCATTCAAGTTTTCCCTCTAATGCAATATTGCAGATATTGGGGAGGGCAGGTTACAATTTGATTGTACATGGATATACTGGATAGATAGGACAGCAGTTGATATTACCTGAAAGAAACCCTTATTTTGATGTTAAATATTGTTGACAAGATCTGCCAATTTTGATGTTAAATATTGTTGACAAGATCTGCCAATTTTGATGTTAAATATTGTTGACAAGATCTGCCATGTTAAATGAATGACAAAACTATAATTATAATATTTTTGAAAACGACCTTCATGTTATGATTAATATGATTTTCGTTATATCTTTCTTTTTAACATGATGGAAAGGAATAGTATTTTGGTTTTTTTTGGTTTTCCAGTGATTTTGATGAAAAGTGAAACATAATCAAGTTTTGACAAGAGGTTAATATTGTATTGTCTCGGCCACCTAAGACATTGTCACCAAGATTAACATGTTTCATCTCCTCATTAGTATAACAGCAGTTCATAAGTAGCAAGGGGAGAGTGCAAATACTGGTGTCTATTTTTATATTATTCTGGGAAACAGAAATTAAATTCTATACTTGTATGTATTACCGCTATATTGACATACTATAAACATGTCCATTTATGCTTCTATTATTATCTATCTAAATATCTTACCTAGGAAAAATATCCTGTTGTCTTGATACTACGTTGGAAACATATCGGGCAATGATCCATGTCTGTAGATGATTTGGGTTCGCATTTTCCATGTGATAGATATGATTACATAATTGACTACAGTGTATGATATACAGTTTATTTATAAATTATAGAGCATTCAGTTTATTTCGAAGTGATCTTACCCAATTATGTAAATGTAGAACTATAAACACACTTGTTTAATAACTTTGCTAAAAAGACACATGTATACCTTTATGTATGAAATATGTACTCCATTAGCATGCAATAAAACTGTAAAAAACTGTAAATGGAAAAACGGTACTGGTTTAACAATCGACGGACACTAGGTGTAGAGAGAGGTACATTACAATATGACCATCGTCTGACACACTGATGGTAACACTGATGTCATCATCATACACCTTCACAAAACTGGAAGTCTCTTCCTGATAACTTGCAGAGTCCAGAATAGATCTGGTATCTTGTCTACATACTGCAAACATACATATATTAGGGGTAATATTATTTTAGCTCATTCATTATAATTCACTGAATTATGTACTAGTTTCAGTCTTTGTAAAATGCTTTTTGTTGCAATTGCACTAAATCTGTTAAATTTTGATAGTGTGCTAAAATATATACCGGGTATATTTACTTTACAGATTTCAATATAACCAGTATGATTTGGTTTTATTTTGTTTTATAACTGTGACGATGTGTATATTCCCCTGGTAAATATTGATTGAGGAACATGTTTTTTTTGTTACAAAAAATCTCCCAATTGTCAACGATTCACGTCTCCGAGACAAGGGGACATAACAAACAGTTGTCATTAAGATTGACGGTGAACACACAATGTTTTATCATTTCTTTCTTAATACTCTGTATTGTTCAGTTTTTTTGATGTGCAAAGTATTTTCGAAGAGATTGAGTTCATTACTGTATGCATATACTGTATATGGAATTTTCAATCAGGTGCAGTTATTGTAACATATATTGCAATCGGGGATGAAAAAATAAATTTAATTTTGTTGTAAACCATGCTTATGCCATTAATGCCATAATTGCATAAAATGAATAAATTGTATAGTTTTGTACACTGCATTCTGAGTTATCTTACTTCATACAAAACAAGAGGCCAATGGGCCTTAACGGTCACCTGAGTCCTACAGTATTTATTTTTGTTGTTGAAATATGTACCAATTTGAGTAAAAAATAGTTAAGTATAATGGCAGCCAAATTGTATTTTTGATTGACCCGAAAAATAACAACACTTTGTCAGGACCATGATTCGATCATTCCTACAAAGTTTCAGTTCAATCGGCCAATTAGAACTTTACGTTAAGTTTGAAATTGTTTTTCAAAATGGCGGCTGTGGCGGCCATATTGGATTTCTGATCGACCCGAAAAATAACAACACTTTGTCAGGACCATGAGTCGATCATTCCTACAAACTTTCAGTTCAATCGGCCCAGCAGAACTTGACTTTAAGTTTGAAATAGTTTTTCAAAATGGCGGCCGTGGCGGCCATATTGGATTTCTGATTGACCTGAAAAATAACAACACTTTGTCAGGATCATGAGCTGATCATTCCTACTAACTTTCAATTCAATCGGCCCAGCAGAACTTGACTTTAAGTTTGAAATGTAAAATGTTAACGGACGACGACAGACGAAGACGGATAGCATTAGGTCACTTGAGCTAAAGCTCTGATGACCTAAAAAGTATACTGTACAGCACTTTAGTATGGTATGTTCCAAAGTTAATTACTTGTTTTGCAAATCCTCCTAAAAACACCCTTTTCCATTTGCTTTCTAAACAGACGATTTATATACTTATAGTTTGAGATCACCTAACCTTATTTCTAAGATGTTGACATGCAGTCAGTCGCCAAAGCAACAGTCAAAGAAATCAATCAAGGGGAATCGGACAACAACTGGTTCACCCGTTTACAGTATAATGTGACCAGGTGGAATGTTGTGCTGAGTGTCTTGTGTGTGGTATTTCAGTGAGATAGGACTGTATAATTGGCATCAGATCCGTGCTATCACAAGGAGGCAAATACACAAACATACACACTTTTCATCACAAATACACATGCATAAACAACGCACACGGAAGCACCTTAAATGACTTTAGCTGTTGATAGGATGTTAAACCTTGATAACCAACCAACTACTTTGATAAAACTAGAGTCATACTTGGGAGTTGTTTTCATTTAAAGATTGAATCTTGCTTTGGTCGATTTCGTGATAAATTGAGTTGGTCTTGAAACAAATTGAATGAACTGAAAAGCAGTTCATGTTGAATTTGATTCAAGACCAACTCCATTCATCATTTATTGAAGCTACACAAGAACATCTTCCAACAATCAATCAGCAAAATATTATCAGCTCATGGTTTCTAGCAGTAGTGACAAGTCACGTACTGCCCTAGAAATTCCACCCCATAGGTGGAGATGACAGATGAGTTACCACTCATCACGTAATAGACGAGTTACGTTTCAATATATACAGGAAATTATGGACTCAATAACACAGAGTTGGTAGCATCTAAAAGTATCAATGGACACTAGCCGAATACAGTATTAAGTGTATTGCAATGATTGGAAAGTTAGCTGCCCTTTATCTCAGCATGCTGCTGACCAACTAGCATCATCCATTACCAAGGTATTTCAGTTATTCAGAAGAATTCAATTAAAGTTGTCAAAACATTTTACCCTTGTGACCTTTAAAGTTGATCTAGTTCTTTCTTTTTTAGAAGTTGATTAAAGATTTCAACACACTAACCCCCCCCCCCATCAAATTGTTTTGATATTTTTTTTAAAAAGAAAAGAGCCCCCTTAGGCTTTATTGTCTCTCAAGTAAAAGGGAAGAATGTTGGTCTAAATCATGCATGCAGATATCCTTTAAGATTTTTTCCCCTGTAACCCCAAAAAGCCTTCCTGTAGATCCCTCAGCCTCTGCCTTAGGTACATTTTTCCCCCTCATCATCAAAGGATTATTTTATGAAATGTCTGAAAATCCAACAATAAATTTCAGAAAATTATTTTGAAGATTTGCACTCTGTGACCCCTAACTGCCCTCACCCATCTGCAGCTCCTCCTTGTGTATAGATACTGCATGATCATCATCTCAGAATAATTTTATGAAATGTTGATTAAACTAAACAATACCTTTTCAAGGGCAATGCTATTTGATGAGGTTGAACTCTATATTGGCCCTCAAATTATCACCACTCTGAAGGGGTGGGTTTCGGCCACTTCAAGAATAGATCATCTGCTACTCATCATCTAAGAATCTTTTATGGAATTTTGGTGAAAATCCACTGGTTTGTGATTTCTTTTTTTTTGTAACCAGAGTCTTGTGGCCTTGCCCCTTCTTGACTATAGTTCCCCACTAATTCCCACCACAGATAATTACCATTAATTTTCATTAAAATCTGGCAATACATTCTGAGAAATTAATTTTGAATTGAATTAGTATCCAAACAAGTATGCTTTTGCATTTAAACAGATATGACTTTCCTGTGCAAGTTTGGTTAATTAATTCAATGAATTACTTCCCTTGAGTGACACCTCCTTTGTAAGATGCATATAAAGTACGTATTATGCAAACATGAAACATATGGATAGAAAATTTTTAAAAAAGTCTATAGATATATTCTAACAGTTAAAACAAGTTCGTTTGACTCTGGTTAGATAATATAAAGACAAAGTCTAGGTATATTTCACATATCAACATTATTTATTAAATACCCGATACACTTTCTTTCAGCACTCTATTCAACAATACATGCATTTACATTCAGAACTAATACACCAATTCAAGAGAACAGACCCCATTTGATTCCTTCAAATGGTGTCAAAAGCAAATAAAATAACTGTTTTCATCTTTTACACTAATTCATACGTCAGCACAATATATAGCTAATGTTGTAACAATGATGATGCTGTAGAATCTGTAATAACTGCATGAGGAGAGGAATTAAACTCTACTGACTTTCCACTGGAGGTTTCCAGAAAGGTATAACAAAGTGTTCAACATTTCAAAATGTTCACTGCATACATTTCAACCAATCTGATTAAAATCCTATCCTACATTCACTACTTATCACGTGATTCGTAGTGAATGTAGGATATGTCTTTAATCAGATAAACATTGCAACTTACAAAGTTATGTAATTCCTTCAATTATTGCACATTCCATCAAATGTACCAATCCAGATTTCTTTAATGATATGGTATCAGTATAATGTTTTTATACTCTATTCAGATGTACAGTTAGTTATTGAAAATAAATAAAATTTAAGCACAATTGAATTTGTTTTTTAAGGATCCCTGTACTACTGTCAAAAACTGTATTTTGTCCCGGTACGACTATAGCTTTGATAAGTTATTTCTGAAAAGTAGATAATTCTTTGCGTAATTTTTATGAAAACTAGAAAATGTCTGTATCGCTTGAATGTTCCCGCTGCCTTGTGAAACTAGTTTCAGTGTTTGTTAATGTTCCGTAAATAGTTTCAATAACTTTGTTTCAATGAATAGCAATTTGCAGTGATCTTTGAAACATTAACTCATCCGCGACATTCTCTTACCAAAAATCTATATAAACTTTGATCAAAATCTGTTAAGAAATCAAGTATGAAGAGTAAGGACAACGAGTCAGTTGCGATTTTCTATATACAACAGTGACCTTGGCCTCGACACCCTTAAACACCGAGATGTCAGAGGTATTCTCATATTTGACCTTTGTATGAAGTTTGATCAAAATCTTTGATAAATGAAGAGCTAGAGTGTTTACATTCATTTGTATTGGGACGGGCAACACTATATGCCCCCTATTTTATGGCAGGGGCAAAACAATAGGCGAAATTAACAAATTAAACAACAGTATTCTGATTAAAAATACAATGGGACCAACCAAGGATTCAGATGCTGACCTTCAATCATTATACTGACGTTATAACAGAATGAACTTCCTGGTCAACAGTAGAACACTCACCAAGTATGTTTGAAAAATAAACACATTTAAATTCTGTAGTGTATTGTCTACAGTGGGACAGGAAACCTTCAGAAAAAACAATTTTTCAAATGTTCAAAATATCTGAATAAACACTCTATATTAAACATACATTAAGCAGAAACTGTATTCTGTTTAATGCCCCCTCCTTTTCACTTGTTTATTATATTGTAAAAAAAAGAGGATTTCTAAATGTTCCAAATTAGCCAACTCCAAGTTAACAAGAGCATTTATAATTTCACAAAATATTCAATAAAACATTTTACATTTTCATTAGAAGTGTTTCACTTTGTGGAGCTCTCCTGGAAAAGAGGTCACAAAAATTACTGTATGATACATCCTTAATAGATGGATAGAACATGTGTTATTTCTCCAGCCCATTACCTATATACTAGAGGTAATATTCATGGAACATTGCTCTATATCAATGTCTGTATTTGATTCAGGTTGTAAGGACATGGTGTTTGTCTATCTCTCACATATAATTACATGCTAGTACATGAGATTCAATCAGCGAAGATCTGGTAAACTTCTAATCAATAGCAAAGCACTATAACCGTTACATTTATATATTACTGCAATAAAACGAATCAATCATTAAGAAAATGTTGTATCATGCGCTTAATTTATTAACTGTTGAAACATATGACTCTCCTAGTAACCTCGTTTTCTTAGTTAAGCCATTCATTTTACAGTATTTCTTGCAACATATACATTTTTTTATTTCATTACATGTGTAACATATTACTAGAATATGAAGTATTTTAGCAACATATTTGGGTCACATGATTATATTATCACTGACAACCAGATCAAATACAAATGTAAGTCAAAATCTCTGTATTTCTTAAAATCAATTTTCTAGCTTGTACATTTGTATATCATTAAAAGTTTTCACACAATGTCAATTTACGAATCTGCAAAAGAGCATTTATTACGAAAAATGTTCCATATGTTATTTTGTCAGAATGACTGATCTTTAGAATAGGTTTCAGTATTAATCAGATGTATTTTTTTAAGAACTGTAAGAATACAAGCAACATCACTACTTTATTACAAGTACCAGTAAACATATTGTTTCAGATCTCCTTAAAATTAAATGAACAGATTTCAATTCAATGTTTAATATTACTCCTTATTCTATAAAGTCATCAATGAAAAAAGTATCCTAGCAATGTTAACTATTACAGGTATTTTATCAATGTGACAAAAATATTATTTTTTTATTACCTGCAGATAGTTCCACATAAAAAACAACAAGTAGAAAACATGAAAATCAGATTTCGTTACGCGTTTCACAGTGACATTTTTTACCAGTCATGATGGTATGCTTTCATTCAAGTCAATACAAACATCCTTATGACACATCCCTTACTGTGAATTTGATTATTTACATAATTTAAACAAAATGATTGATCAATCTACCTTAGACAGTATACACTTATAATTTAATCTTGCTTGTAACAAGCATTTTCATTGGCTTAAAAATTTATGTTATCAGCCCATAACGTAAAAAAATGACTTCGGCGTTTGTAACGTCAGTTTTGATTGGCTGATACAGCAGCGCAATAATTTCTAAGAGAAAAGAGTCCATCAATAAAAGTGGATTTCCACAGGGATTGTGTATGGTAGATTAAATTATAAGGATTAACTTAAATATATTTTTCATGTTATGGAGATATAACACAAAAAAACGGAGTGTACTCTAAATAAACCGTGTAGCAGTTATTAAATATGAGACTTGTGTTTGAGCACGGTTAACATCTTCCTTAAAGATGTACACATTATATAATTAGTATAATCTATTAGGCTATTTTCCATATGCCTATACTCTGCCTACTTTTCTTTTTAAAATTCCTTTTCTCTACACCCATTATGTACACGTATATTCATGTCTTAATAGTCATATAAGAATTACATGAGTTTTAAAACTGCATAAAATCAAACGTGTGTACCTTTTAAATGCGTCACCAACTCTTGTGTATTTTCACCAGTGCTTGTGTACCTTTTAAATGTGTGGTCAATTCTTGTGTACCTTAAATTGTGTCATAAATTCTTGGGTACCTTTTAAATGTGTTATCAACTCTTGTGTACCTTTCGAATGTGTCATAAATCAATTAATCATTTAATCAAATAAATAATCTCTCATAAAATGCTTTTGATAAGTATCTTTGGAGATGTTTGGAAAGGTGTCACATGTCACAAGGTAAGGTACATGTAGGAAGTACACGTATCGTAAAATTCTTATTTTAACTCAAAATATATTTTGTTTCTGCTGGTTTGATTATGTTCCCCAACCAATCTTCAGTTTGCATACTGGAACATAAGCAGGTCGTCCTTTATCATTGCATCCAAATATCAAAAAATAAATTACATACTTCAGCAGGTTTGATAAAGACCATATGTAATTTCTGTGATAGAGTGAACTCAAATCTTTACATATATACAGAAACTGAAACATGGCACATACACAGTAACAACTATATATACCTTCCATAAAGTCACTGTCTGTGATATAGAGAACTCACATCTTTACATATATACAGAAACTGAAACTCGGCACATACACAGTAACAACTATATATACCTTCCATAAAGTCACTGTCTGTGATATAGAGAACTCACATCTTTACATATATACAGAAACTGAAACTCGGCACATACACAAGTTACAACTATATATACCTTCCATAAAGACGATCACTGTGATATAGAGAACTCACATCTTTACATATATATAGAAACTGAAACTCGGCACATACACAGTTACAACTATATATACCTTCCATAAAGTCACTGTCTGTGATATAGAGAACTCAAATCTTTACACATACACACTTACCAAAGTGACTGTGTCTGTGACAGAAAAATGCCTCTCAATATTCCAAACAGGTGACGGTTTCAGAAAATAATATCAACCCTACGACTCCTGTCAAATTTCGCACTCGCTTGCATTATTACTTACAAAAGGCACCATGATCATGCTATATTATCACCTCCTCACAGACTTTATAAACTGTAAACTGGAAAAATTTCACTGCAGTTTTATTTTCACCTTTTTCGTCTTCCACAGTAAGAGCAAATGTATCATGTATATATAGTATACAGCTTACTCTACATAGTAACTGTATGCGTAGGACAACATTACACTGAGCGAATACACATTTTACCAGTGGAGGGCGAATATTTGACTGGGCAAAATTTTTCCGGTATACAGCAAAATATTTCTAACAAGTATGGAAAGGATGACATTTAATACTTTTCACATGAACCATAATTAAAATGTATTTACTATACAGTATCAAATATTGAAAACTACCAACCTACCTACCGTACAGTGAGCAACTTCTTAAGCTAGTATGCCACCAAATAATGTTTTTTTTTTATTTCCAATAACTTTATCTTTCATGCCTTCATTCAAAATGTTAGGTAAAATTCTCGTATACTGGCAAATCTATTACCTAAATTTGACATCTTGCATGTAGAAAATAATTATTAATGATGATGAAACAAAATGATGGAATGAATGATTGACAATATGTACAATGATAACAGGGACTGCTGTTCGATACTATTGCTTCTTGAATCCCTTCAGTATGGGATAGATGTTGTCAAAAGCTTCATAGATTTCTTCTCTCACTTTGGCACCTAAAAAAAGAAATGAAATAATGAAACCTTTAAAGGACAAAAACATTCGAATTTGGACATGTGATGGGAATTGAATTTTCACTGTACTTTATTTCAAACATTGGGTTATTAATATGCTTTAATATGGATATACTGTACTTTCATTATAGGTTAAATTAATTTAAAAAAAGAATTTAATAAAGTTTTCTTCTTGGCAAGCTCTTAGCTTTTTCCCCACATAATTGGTTTGCAATTATAAACATTGTATGACATCATTAAAACTGCAGATATCATATGTTCTCTGCCATTGTACATATACATGTATTTGTGAAATATTGTGTAATATACATGTTAAACTTTTACAAAACTATTAAAGTACCCCAGACTTCTGATTGGTAATATCAAATGACTTCAGAAATTTTGGCTAGGTCATAATTTGATCATTACAATATATATACACTGAACTTTGTGACCTACCTGTCAACACAACTTTCCCTGAGACAAATATCAGCAACACTATTCTAGGCTTGACCATTCGGTAGATTAATCCTGGGAACAACTCAGGTTCATAGCTGAAATGAAAAATAATTAATAACACTGCGTATACAAGTACAATGTACATGGCAATTAATTAACAAATCCTTTTCTTATATTTGTATAATATAAATATTGACAAAGTTTCATCAGAAACCGGTCATATTTGACAATATCATTGTGCATAATTCATGAAGGGCATATAAAAACCACTTTGATATTTCTATTTCACCATGGTCACTAGAAAACAAAAAACTTAACTTGCAGAAATTGCTATCTGTAGCATAAGTGGTGAAAATGAAGACTGACTACTTTGCAAAGGAAAATAACTATTGGGCAGAAAAGCTTGTTAATGTTGGAAAAACAGCTCTGAAGCATGACTCTTCACAAATAAAACTGTTGCAGTGATGCTCTTTAACCTGAAATCTGAAAAAATCTTGGGTGTTTAAATTACTCCTGCTGATGACGAACAATGCCTTTTTGTTGTATCTATATCTACACTCAAAGCCAAATGAGCATTAGAAGTTATTACTTAGAGGCGATAGAATTTAGTACATGTATGCAACAATCGAACATATTAATCTATTCACACTCCTTGAAAATCTACAATATGTATGCAATCTTTACTCTTTACTAAAACTTACGTGGAGAACTGGCCATGACTCAGCACTAATCCCTCCAAGCGGATAGGAAATTTCACATCACAGCTTCCCACCATATTTTGGATCTTAAAATCCAGAAATTTTGCCTGAAAGGAGGAAACATAGTAAATTGAACAATTGCACTCCTTGACCAATAGTACAATGAATATAGTCAAAACAACTAATTCATAGCACATGTCCACAGGAAATTTAGTTGAAATCTTTGACGCTTGTATTTTATTATTCCAATATAATGTTGTATCAACTTTATATCATGTAAGTGGTATAACACCGGTTTTTTGTATTGGTAAACAACCATGGCTAACTCTACAAATCACTGTGCATGTAACCCTTTAATATACTGTATGCACACACAACACTGTTCCAAACCAACCCCTGCAAAATTATTAACTGAGCCCTTAGATTGGCTTTACTTAATTGTTTTCACCTTCGTGAAATTTATAAATAATTTATAATCATAAATACTTACTGGAAAACCAAGCTTTTGTACAATTCTTGCATATTTCCTCGCTGCTAACTTTGCCTGTTCCTCACTGTAAATACAACACAAATGTTTAATTGCCAGGTAAACATTGTATAAAATATCTGGATCAGCAGTAAATAGTTAACAGGAAACAATTGTACACATTGTTGAAATCCACTTTATTATTTCACATAGTTAACATTTTTATAATATATGCATGTAATTTCAACAATAACCTGCAGAATTGGTCTGCATTGTTCAAATGCCATGAGAGTGTATGGTGAATCTACAGTCAAACTTCCATAAATCAAATTTGAAGATTCAAATTTCTCAATTTCTCAAACTAACAGCAAAGTCAAGAATTTCCCCCTTATATTACAATATTAATATTCTATTCATGAATCAAACTTTTATCAATCAAATTTCTAGCTGATTTGAAGTATAAATAAGGCCCATTCTTTATGAAAACATTGAAAATAACAACTTATAAATCAAAGTAAAAAAATCACCTTAACTAGAACATAAAAATGTCCCGTGAGACTATAACATCATTTGGTCATGTGACCAGTACTGACCACTGTTGTAATGTTAGCCATCTGATTATGACAACAGAGACCTTTGCTGTTTTAAGAACTTCACAAACAGATGCTATTAGAGTGAAATAATAACAGTTAATATAACTACTTTATTAAAATGTAAATATAACTAATTAATAGTTTAACTTTTGGTGTTATGGTCTCATACAGCACAATGTTAGTGCTGACAAGCTCACAAATTCGATGCCGGAAAACTTTCGCCAAACCAAATGTTCGCCCTTAACTGGTAGAATCCTTTCCCTGCAGTGTTAAGTTCACCCTTGACATGTTATTCCTATGTATAGTAGTACAATGTGTCCTTTTTTCATCATTATGATAAATCGGCCCTCATTACGGACGAAGAAAAAGGTGAAAGTTAAAATGCAGCGAAAATTCCCAGTAATTCACTGCCAGACTTCTTCATGCTTGTTAGCAAAAGCAAGGCATTTTTAGGAAAAAAATGTTCCCTATAAAACACTCCTCTCTTTAGAAAAAAAACCCACTCGTTTAGAAAACAGTTGTTATCTGGTAGTAAAATTAAACACTATTTGAATAAATATGCATAGCTTTCCAAGCGATCTTGTACAAGTGGCCACCATTTTTTTATGATCACTCTCCAAAGTAAACATGCACAACTACAGACCAAGGGGAACCTACATATCAAATTTGAGAAAGATCCCTCCAAAACTTTCTTAGAAATAGCAATAACACTCACTGTCAAAATCCAAAATGGTCGTCTATCGGCCATTTTGTTGATTTGATCAGTCTCAAAAGTAAAAACACATGCACAATAACAGATCAAGGGTAACCTTCAAATCGAATTTGAGAAAGATCCTCCAAAACTTCCTAAGAAATAGCGATAACAAACATTCAATGTTAAAATCCAAGATGGCTGCCAGCCAGCCATTTTGTTTATTCAACCAGTCTCAAAAGTTAACATGTACAATAACAGACCAAATGGAACCTACATGTCAATTTGAGAAAGATCTCTCGAAAACTTCATGAGAAATAGCGATAACAAACATTCATTGTTAAAATCCAAGAAGGCCATCTGTCGGCCATTTTGTTTATCGAATCAGTCTCAAAAGTAAACATGCACAACAAAAGGCCAAAGGGAACTTTCATAACAAATTTGAGAAAGATCCCTCTGGTACTTTCTGAGAAATAGCGATAACAAGAATTGTTTAAGGACAGACCACGAACGAAGGGTGATTTGAAAAGCCCGGCTAAATATTGATGAGCATTGATACTTGGTATTTACAATGCCAGTTGGCACAGGTCCACATCATTATGATCATTTAATATTTTGTTCCCTTAATTTTGAAATTGAGAACTGCCATTAAAATCAATCGTGGATAAAACTTGTTATAACTATTAGACAGCCAATATTTAGTAAAATTATACCTTTTGGCTCCTGTGCAAACCATTTTTCCAGAACTGAAGATCAGAGCAGTGGTCCGAGGGTCTCGAATTCTCATAATAACAGCAGCAAAACGTTTTGGATTGTACTCTGCATTTCTTGCATGTAGTGCAATTTTTTTCAGATCTAACTTGCATCCCAAGTTTACAGTACAAACAATATTTCTGCAAAGGAAATAAAACACTTTCATATATGACAAATATTTATGAATCAACTTTTTAACAATTGGTACCAAATTATTTATAAAGACATGTTTTCAACACTTCAATGAAGACTATTGAATATAATAAAAAATGCAGGTCATAGCATTACAACCTTGAGGTTGGGTTGTGATCTGCAGGCTGCATAGGTGATTTGACAGGACTGAGTACCAGAAGATTGCATAAAAGTAACAGAATGGTTCTACTGTGCTAAATTTTAGGGATTTACATATGTATGCATTACTACAAGGTGAATCCATACATATGCAACAGGGTGTACTCGATGCACTTGGTCAGCATGTTAACTTGTCTGTGTTGTCTATCGTACCCGTTTCATAACAAATATGTGTAAGGTCGAGCGAATATGATTGCACAAGTATTTCCCATACTCACGCCACCCTGGGTGTCGTATACACACGCACCCGTAACCTTCTCATCTCACTCTGCACTGTGCTGCCATCAGAGCAGGACGGACCTTTCCAGGCCTCTGGTTACAGTCATTATCATTTTAGTAGTAATATGTAAATGCACATTAGCACAGTACAATATAATACTATATCTGTATCATTAGTCGTAATTATAACGTCGAAGCTTGTAAAGCGAAAGTATAACTAAATAGTGTAGGTAGACATAGTTTCGCATTTATTGTATCTATCATCTATGACGTTAGTTTCGTACTTTGTTCGACTTATATATTTTAATACTGGTATACTGTATTTTAGGTTTTCCTACCGGATTACAAATAAACACCAATGAACTCAACTCTTGTGCTTGTTCTGATTGAGAGAAGCGTACGACTTTACACATAACACCTGGCAACTGTAAACATCAGAATTGTTTCCTTTTTACCAGGTCTTGGTAGAAGATGAAAATCAATATATTTTGCTACCATATATATATACAGTGGTTACAATTTTTATAACGTTGATCTGCTACTGGAATTTCCTGAAAATCTGCAGCTGTCCACAGACATATCAAACACCATCCAACCTACTGTAATTGTGGCCTCAGTGGCATGAGACTAGCCGCTTCTGACGCCGGGGTAGCAGGTGATATTGGGGTCATTGGGGCTGTCATAGGTCCGCCAGGTGTTGGGGTCGGAGGATACAGACTGGGAGCATTTGATGGAGGCATAACTGGATTTGGGGTAAGTCCATGACCAAATCCCCCTAGAGCTGGTGACATCATTGGACTCTGAATAGAAGTTATAGAAAATTTATACAAAATAATTTAAAAAGTCAACCCAAAAAGTCATAAACTGCATGTTTTTCCAAATAAATACTATAAAGTTTTTTTTTTTTTTTACAGATGTCTTTATATAGGCCAATTTAGCTAACTATAAGTTATGAATATTCATTTTTTTTCCAAATTACATAATGCTTTATTTACAGAGGGGGACTGGTATATAACTGAACAATATGAACAGAAAAATATTAATCAAAATATTTTTATCACAGTATACATTTCCTGTTAGTATACAGTGTAAAGCCAAAACAGATCTCTAGGGCCAATAAAGAAAATATTGGTGCATCTTTAAAGAATGCAATATCACGGAATGTCATTTGCTATCTAAGTCCATGGTAGTTTTTAGTGAATCCTTCATTTCATTTCAAATAAATTTAGAGTAACAAAATTGCACAGCCATTGCCTATTAAACCTTTTTCCAGTGAATACAAACAGTTTGTCAAGATTAAAAAACTGCAGCACTGTCTTTCTAACTAATGTATTCATCAGAACACTGTCAGCATTTTCATGTGAATGTAAGCAGCGATCACACACGCTAAGTTAATGACATTTTGATATTTTTCACTCCCCCTCTCTAAATATCATTATTGAATTGGCGATTACTACTGATGACCGTTGGATTATATCTAATTATGCTGTATTTTCAGTGGAATTTATGTATATATTTGGACTTCTAAAAGTCTGAATGCTAAGCACGTCGTAAGTACCTTTTGGTAGCTACAGTGTTAATTAGCTGCGATAATGTAGCTGCTGACGACGAGACATTTTTTTTGGCCGGAGCAGGGGAGGCCGGGTATTCATATTCTACAGTGTACTACAGTGATAACATGCATTTCAAACAGGGTTGCTGACATCGGTGACATTGCATCATTTGCATTTAACCAAGAAACAAAGCTTTTTTGACAACGAAGACTTCCTCACCTGCTGGTGTTGCGGCGTCAGTCCAGTGCCGTATGATTGATACATGGTGCCGTCCATATTCATGCTGTTGTTGAATCGGAATTGATGTCAACAACGACGAAAACAGTGCAATCACGTTGGACTGTGATGCATACGATTTTTTCGGAGTAAATTACATTTATAGAATTGAATATTCGTTTGCAATACTTTCAAAAATTAACATTTAAAGTAAAAATTAAGGCATAGTTGTAGTTATTATCGATATATGGCCAGAACCGATGTCTGAGTAAAACGGTCAAAAAGAAATCGACACCACCAGCTTCATTCTTCACCGGAAGTGGATAATGTTTTAACGCTTATATCAACGACAAAAATAGACCTCATCCTCCTTATATCATTAATAATAAATTTCGACCAAAAATATATTTCAGGCCTTTGAGGAAATTTGAAATATAAATTTATGTTTTAGATAATATCTTATCTTTAACCGAAAGGTTATATTTAAAATGACTGCATTTCTCATATTTTGATTATGTTGACTCATATCAACTTTCACATACATGTATTTGGACCTAAACTAAGGTGTCTAGAGTAATTTTACATATTTTAGGGGTAAGATCGACTTTACCACCCTATAGCTGTATCAAATTCTCATATCCCTGTTAAGTGGATCTATTTATTCTCTTTATTTCCTAGTCCAAAATGAAGATTACATAAACAGAATAGTTACATATAAGAATTAATCAACATATATACATACATGGACATTGAAAGAGTACAAGGGTATCGTTACTTTAATGAGTACATAACTAACTATATACTCCTTTATTTCCTCCAGAATGAAGATTATAATGATAGAGCATCACACTACAATCATCAATTACACATCAATTATCAAAATTATTATACATATATATTACAATAAATTTCTGTTGTAACACATTAGGGCATATAATTTAAGCTAGCAGTATCAGGCCCTTTTGATTATTTGACAATAATCAGCATAGATATAGTAAATTTGTCATTTTTAATATGATATTATCATTCGAAAAAATAGTTTAACAGACGTCATACGGAACTCTTCTAGGTCTGAGTTACACAAATTGTAAGAAATAATTGACTTTCGTTTAAGTCGTGCAAATATACAGTGAACAGTATATCACTAATATTAATGATATTGCACCATAATTCGTCCCTTAATTCGTCAGTAGAACTACACTGCAGAACTATGTGGATGGCAACATCTTCATAAAACTGACCACATTTATGACATAATTCATTATGAGCCAACCACCTCATGGTAACAATTAATTTCATTATGTAATAAACAGCTTCTCTATTTCCTGGGAACTTTTTACATAATTTCCACAGCTGGTGTGGAACTAACTTGTCATGTATTAAAACAAACCTAGAGAAGTCAGTATTATTACACATCCTATTTAACCATACTTTTTCTTCATATCCATGCACAGCATTTTTAACCTGCATTTTCCAACGTGTTTTAAGAGGAAACCATCCCTCATTTATATACTTCTGAACCGGATCATATAAATTATATTTTCTTAGAATCCTTAGGATATCATACGCAAAACCATACCTGACATTATTTTCTGCATCCAGATTTACAATAAAAAGTATTGTAAATAGTATACGAGACGAGAGTGTCGTACTATGTAATCTGCATATCCTACCGAAAAATAATAACTTTTTAGTATCTATATATCCTTCTATACTTGTCCAACCCAGGAGGCCAGTACACATATCGGTTCTTGTTCGGGTTGCGAAACCCTGAATGGATTTGACAATAAAGTGTTGCGCCCTCTCTAACATTAATATTTCTGTGTTTGTTAGATTCCAAAGTTCACAGCCGTACAAGGCTGAAGCATACACTTTAGTTTTAATTATTTTACCTGTAGTTAAAGGGTTTAAAGCACTAGGATGACAACCAGAACGAATTAGACTCATTGTTCCACTACGAAGCTTATTACATGCACGAAGTGTGCGTTCCATACTATTGAATTTATTATTTAACATTACTCCAACATGCGTTACGTTGTCAACTTCCGGAAGGGGGCAACTATAAAGATGAAAGATCCTATTTGCATCAATTTTCTTTCTCCTTGAAAATGTTACAATGCTACTTTTTGTCGAAGAAAAAATAAATCTCCATTTTTTGCTGTAGTTCTCGCATAACTGTAACATATGTTGTAAATCAGTACGCTTAGTGCTCACTAGACAGATGTCATCCGCTTGGGTTGGAATATTTACTCTTAAATCTGCAATAATTGCCCCTTTCTGACATTGTTCAATCGTATTTAACAAATCATTAATGAATACTAGGTACATTTTTGCCGACAATGCGCTCCCTTGTAAGAATCCCCTCTCCATCACAATCCATCTGGATAGAATGCCATTACTCACTACACAACTAGTTACATTTGTATAAATTGCTTTCATAACCATCCACAACTCCGATTTCAACCCCATCTTATACAGTTTGTATAACAAGCCACCATGCCACACTGTCAAATGCCTTACTGCTACCAAGGAAGCTTACATACACATTGTCTCCTCTCTCAATATTATAATTCACACATTCTTGTCAGTTAAATGACGTTAGCATACTACATAAACCTGCCTGATAGGCAGACTGATGGACATTAGGAAAAAAGCTCGAATTAAGGACTGGATCTATTCTCTTCGTTAATATCATTTCAAATATCTTAAAAATGACGGGCAAGAGAGTAACTCCACGGTAGCTATTCGGATCATCTCTCGGTTTTCCATTACCTTTGTGTAAAGTTACAATTACACCCTTTTTACAATCACCTGATATGTAATGATGTTTGATTAAACAATTAAACAATTTGGACAAGTGACGATAGAGTAGGAGATTCCCATATCTTAAATGTTCATAGACTACATTATCAAATCCCCCTGTTTTATTTGATCTTAATTTTTCACATACATTCTTAACCTCATCTGTTTCCGTAATTGGTTCGTCCAAAACTTCGTTTCCATCTTTTAAAGTCGTTTTTTCAATTAAGGCAACTTGTCTCAAAATTTGCTTTTCAAAATTTGCATCAAACATTGAGATTGGCTTACTATTAAACAGCTCTTCAAAATGATCAGCCCATTTCTCGCTGATAACTCTAGGGTCTCTATAATTAAGTCACTCCGCCATATTTAATTCCGGTTTGTGTCTGTTTACGCCTGCCTGATCTAGACTTGAACAGATACCAAAATAGTTTTTGGTCCATCTCGCTCGATTTATCAATTTCCATCAACTGCTCAGCCATGTATGCGTCAAACGCTTGTCTAAGAGTTTTTCTAAACAAAGATTTTATGTTTTGTATAATTCTTAACACTAACAGAAGCATCACCTCTAGGCCTCCCCTCGTTTACCCATATTTTCCTTAATTGTTTCATATCCTTATGAATAACTTTTAAATCATTGTTCCGGTAAGGTTTCAGATATTTTCTGTACTTAGCCACAGGGATAGTTTCCTTTGAAGCAGAAATTATTGCAGAAACAATATCATCGTAATATGTATCTATTTGTCCCCGAGTGACGACACTCTCTGGTAGCCTAATGTTAGAAAGTTTGTCATATAACACTCTCTGATACATATAAATCAAGTTAGTAGCCAAAGCTTTCTTCCAGCTAAACTTTAAGGAATTGTTTACTTTGGCATGAAAAACACTTGCTGGTATATTCATCGAGCATAACACAGGAACATGCTCTGACAGGTTGGAATCACACTTTTGAAATATAGACACATTTTCAACCAGGTCAAATATACTAGATTCCACAATTATGTGATCTATCAGTGTACAGTTTCCAGTCTCGTGAACTTAGTCTGTACATTAGTCGATAAGAGATTACATCGATTTAAAAAATTCTGAAAAATTGACATCGTGATCCTTTGACTTTTACATTCATATCTCCTGTGAACAAGACATTTCCTCTTTCAGAATATATAGAGTATAAACTTTCTATCAATTCTACGTGTTCACTAAACACTTCAAATGCCCTTGACGACGCAGGCATATAAACTAAAAAAGATGTCACTTTTTCGTGTCTAGAATTAAAATCTTTTTTAGGGTGACCACCGCTGTATAATGTTCTTCTCCTTGCGAAGAGTGTGGGTCTTGTGTGAATGCCTCCTGCCCAATAAACAAGAGGCGTATCTAGACATAATTGCTTATCTGGGTTGATATTTTTCTTCAATTAAAACCTGCTGAAACCCGTATTCATTTCTCAAGATTCTAATGAATATAATTAAAAAGGTTTGATAAGGACTATCTAGACCCCTTGGAGCTGGCAACGACACAAAAGAAATTGAGTGTATATATATATATATTGTTTCTTTAAATGCCAAGCAATTTTATGTGGCTATTGGGTAGGGATCTCAGCTATTTCCATGGTATATAGATATATCTAGATCCATGGCACAGGAAGTAAGTCCTCAGGAACCAGGCCTAACCTTGGGACAAGTCCTAGTAGAAAGAGTGTATTCATCACTTCACTGCATTGGGTTTACTTAGGTTATAAGATGGGGATTTCAACTGTTTCCTTGTAATGATTCAGCGAAACGTGCCTCGGATAAGTTCCAGACTCTAGAGCAAATCATAGTAACATGAATGTATTTATCTTTTCAACTCTGGCAAATATATAGTGACGAGGTGGAAATTCCAGGTTTCCAGGTTAAGATCCAAGAGGTACGTATCAAAGGGCGACGCGACCGTTGCGCCACTTATGTAGCATTAGTATACGGTAGGGTTTTCAACTATATACTCTATTGCAACAATTATATAGTAAACTTGTTACTTCAACTTGTGTTTATCACTGTTGTTTGCCCTTATGTTAGCGCGTGGGGGGATCTTAAATTTGAATGTGGAAGGAAACCAGAGTCTTGGAGAAAATCCACCAGGCGACCCCATATACCTTTTCACGTCTGTTCGGAGAATCAGCCCGGCCGCCTTGGTGAAAGGAGAGTGCATTATATGCACTGCACCACCCGACCACTCGATCTTAACTCTTTCCATGTTTTGACACAGGGAGCAAGTACCAAGGGGCGAGGCAATGCTCCACGGCCAATTGTGATATCATGAGTGTGCTCGTCTCTTCATGCCTAGCAATTGTTTAAATGGTTATTGGGTGGGGATCTCGATTTGGGGAGTTCAATGTTATGACTTAGGGATCGAGTACGTCTCAAGAGGTAAGGCTAGATCCCCGGACCAATCCTGGTAGCAATACATGTACAATCAAATACATTGTACAAATGTATATATAGCAATAGGGTGATGAATTCAACTGTTTCCATGTTATTAACA